ATGAAGTTAATAAATAAGTTGGAACATGGGTTATTTGGGTTGATGACTAAGGCAGCGCATTAAAAATTGATAAATATTGACTTGAATCTGATGTAGAAGAGGAACAACTACTCTGAAAGCATCTTTTGACATCTCGACTCAATAATATAGTCACACTTTCATCAAATTCCCAGCCACATCAGACAAAATACGATCACATAAACTCAACAATTTATTAAACCAACGATCAATTTCAGATTTATTGCATGAAATATGTAAAAACATGTTTTCGTTCATTGAAGCTATGGATGTATATTGTGGTAAACATTTAAAAGATCTAAGAGGAAGTAGGCTATTGAATATTTGAATTGTGGCTTGAAGGAGAATAAGACGAACAACAAAAAAATGTTAAACGATGATGAATCGTATTTGAGCAATTATTAGCAAAATATCGCGAAATATTCTTTAAGAATTTATGCAAAAAAGAATTTTTTTTTCTAATATTATTTTGTATTTATTCTCATCCAAATGGAGGGTCATTAAATTCTGATTATGGAAATAATTGATTTAAACAATACACAAAGGTCGATTCATTAAGAATTGCGAAGTCTATCCAAATCAGACGTTATTAAATTGGCATTTTTATTTGTCATTGTTAATGCAAATCAATTCTTGGGAGTGGAGCATCTAGCAACTTGAAAGTTATGACGAGTTATTTTTGCAGTTATTAAGTCATTTAAATTTAAAGAATTGATGAATAGCTTCTGATACAATGACTAGCAAATTAACTAGCTGTCGGCTAAACACTCACAAGATTTATTTCAATTTATTGAGTCTACTAATTAGTAAATTGGCATTAAACAGAATTTAAAAGGAGATGAGATTGTCGATTTGTGTATCAGCAGGGATCTTGAGAGTATTGTGAGAGCCATGAATGGATCTAGACTGATATAAATATTAAAAGGTTATCAACTGTGAGGCAGGTGATGAGTATATTGCTTTTAGAGTAATAAATATTTTCTGTATGGATATTTCTTTCCGTGCCGTGGTGTTTCAATTAAGAGATGGTGAGTTTTAAGCTTGAGAGAAGATGAATTGATCAAGGGACAGGAACTATTTTTGAATACTAAATGTTTTAAGCTAGTTATGATCGCTTCTTCCTCCACTTAGACTTACTTTAAAACTAAAACGATGTTAATTCCTCAGAAGAGCCATTTAACTGCAAACTCAATTTCAAGTCCAACAACTAATTCAAAACAATACTAGATGTCTCCAAAAAATTATTTCTATGCCCGAATTTCATTAAAAAAATCCGAAAAAATCCATTTTAAAAAATTCTTCAACAAAAAAAAATCTATAAACAAAAATCTTTGCGACCCATCGAAAATCAATTGTCTCAACATGAACAGCTATTTAAAAGAGTTTTTAAATACCATTCACACTGACTTTGTTTTGTTCTTCACCGAAACAAATAAACATATTTTGTGTGTGAAGCTGTTCCTGATACTACTAATTTTTTCCGTACCAAAAAATATCTCAAACGACCATTCAAATTAATTAAAACGCTTACTGGCGGAACTTCTTATCTCATTAAGGAAGTTTTTGATTGGCTTAATTTACAACTGAAATTCTTTATATGGCATTTTAATGTATTCAGGCGAGGTTGAGGATTTTTTCTGGAAATGTGTAACTGCACTGCTTATTTAATTATGCATTTCTTGTGGATTATGTATATGAGACACTTCTGACTTTTAAAATTCCATGTCATTCTCTTTTAGTTTTTTTGCCGCTTGAAAGAATTTATGATGGAATTCAGGTACATGGTGTATGATTTCATAAATGGAGCATTAAGTATTTTGCTGATGTGCTGATTTCTGCAACGCAATGATCTGTTTATTCATGTAATTGGTATGCTTAATATGATATATATTCTTTTTGGGTTGAATTTTATATTTTGCGTAATTTAATTTATGGGAAATGTCGTGGAACTGAACGTTGTGATGAATTAGTAGCTAGGGAATGAGGGCGAACTAGCAACTACTTAGACTCTGGATTAAGAGAGTATAAAAATGTTTCAAACTATCACAACGAGCATCCACTAGTTCTTCTTTTTTTGCAAATTTATTTAGTCTAAATTAACCTCTGTCTACCTGCAAACCATAGCAGTCTCAACACATCTAAAGCAATTCAAACTACAAATCGTGAAATCAGCATGAAAGCGATACTCAATTTAGATTCATGACTTCAACTGATTTGATTTACATGCCTGGCAGAAATATCAATTCTAATAGCATGACGAGACGACAAAATAATGAACATTTAACTCCATTGATGCCACTTACTTTCATATTTCTAATCTAGTCTTATTTGACACATGATAGATAGACAGGAAAAAGAAGTAGTCTCGCATAAATAGTGAAAGGTGAAATAATAATTTTTTTGTATTGATAGAGGAATTAAAACAGCAACGTGTAAATGAGGTGCCATGGGGAAAATAAAAATTAATTTTCTGTTCGAAATGTGCTGTCGCCGGGAAGAAGTTTCAGATTACCTAATTATAAAGTTATAACATTATCACAACATCATGAAATACATTTAACTACTGCCCTAATTACTGCTTATATATTATAAAACTGCTGATAATTGTTATTCCTACCTAATGCATCTCAGCATAATTACAACTTTTACTGCATTTTTCTATCGTTTGATAATTTTTCAATTAAAAATTTCACAACTTGATATTAAATTTGCATAATCACACATTCTCGCCAAAGCAGACTGGTGACTAAAGAAGAAGAAATGTCACAAATCTGACGTAATTTGCTTCTAAAATTATGTCAATATAAAATTATTTTAGTCATGACAAATTTTCTTGTGTCTTAACTGTAAAAAGGAACAGCACACGAAAAAAAAAATTAATAAAAATATTCAGTTGGAGTCACAGACGTAAGAAGAAGAAAAGAGGAAATGCCAACGTCATGCAAAAAAATATACACATTGCATGCAGGTTGCAAAAAAAAAGACTTTATACGAGTTTGAAATTTTTTTGGGATTAATGGAGGTGATTATGGCGCTGTTAAGCACTCCAAGTTTAGTAAGATTGAAGACTTTCAAGAGTACAAATGATTTGACCTGTTTAAAGCAGTTCATACAGTCAACATCAAAATCTTCGAGATTTTTCCCCAATAATTAAACAGTCATCCACAACTCATTGGATTTTCTAACAAAAATCTGTAAAAAATCCCACAACATTTTCCCAATCTCCAAATTCAGCAAGTCATCATCACAAACCAAACAAACTGCACAATTTAACCATTCAAAATGAGCTAAAAATGCATAATAAAAATGCCATCGAAAGAGAATTAAAGAAAAAAGTAAGAAAAATTAAGTCGAGAAACAAGTTTGAGCGAAAAAATGCCGTACTTATGTCCGTAAATGGAGAAAAGTTGCAATAATAACAGCAACAACAATTCCGATGATGATGATAGCAGCAATAAAGATCAGTCTTAGTGTATGAGAAGAATGAAAGAAATAAAGGTAAGAAGAAAAAGAGCGAATAAACAACAAAAAAGAGAAAAATTCTCACATTTGTGTTTGTAAACGTCTTTTTCTTTTCTTATAATATCGGACTACAAGGTCACGGAAGGCCGTTTAGCTGCTATGAGAAGAAATATAAAAAAAGAGAGCGGAGTATGCACAATTTCTGTTTTGAGTACGATAAAAAAAAAATCAGAAACATGTTCGATCAGGATTTTTACGAGAAATCGCGATTTGCGCATGCTTCATATACATTGTAATATTATTTTGCGATACAGAAAATGTCAATGGAAGAATATAATACAAACCTGAAATGACGTGTTTCATTAGCGACAAAATAGAATGAAAGGAAATAAAAGAATCGTGAAATTTGAGAAGTTTATTGAATAATAGGGAAACTTATCTCATCGTTAAATCATTTTGTTTAATATAGACGAGGTGATGAACTGACGAAAAAGAAGAAATTTTCTATTGTTTGGTGGATGGTTGAGTTATTGAGAAAATTATGTGTCAGATTTTATTTGGGCAAACTTGTTTTATAGAAGCCTTGTGAATTTTGAGAAAAAAAAAATTAATAAGACTTCAATAATATAAATTCAATAATTTTGCAAAATTGATTTCTTAGGAATCGAACCGGTAGATATTGATTGGTTAAAATACTTTTTAAATTCTAACCATTTTACTTCAAAACTTCTCTAGTATTTTACTGTATTTTACAAAATTTAAATAATTCAAAAAGTAAGAAAAATTGGAAATTGGAAATTGGAAAATTGAAATTATAGTTTGTCAATATCATACAAAACTCATTCGCTGCATATCTGCAATAAATCATGCACATCACCCAAAAAACTTCTGCTTAAAAGGAAAAATCATATCACATTTCCGTGTAGATTTCCAATACATCCTAAATGTACCAAGGAACAATGAACCAAAAAAAAAAATATGCACACACGCCGCAATATTAATTTTCAACAAAAAGCCACCATGCCTCCATCTATATCAGTGAATAAAAATAAAATAACATCTGCCTTAATTCTATAGAATATTATTCTTGAAATAAAGAGAAATTGCACCATGCAGATGAAGATATTCATTGTGATCAGTGATCGACACTTTTTTCAATGTGTTAGGTTCCATCTCGGCAAAAAATAAGGTAGTTTATAAAAAAAAATCTACAGAATTGAATCATAAAAAAGATCGATGAGCCTGAAAAAAAAATTTATGGGACCTTAACGTGTGTGCGTAACTGCTGAGATCCTTCTAAAAGGAATTTAACACCAACACATACGTAATTTGTAGCAAAATAAGGGATCCATGGGTCATAAATTTTCATAAAAGAACTTTACAGCTGCTGCTCGACTCAAATGTGTCATGTCAATACACCCCGAGTATGTGTTAGAGAGAGACGCACTAATCTCTCAATTTTATTTCATTCTCTCATTCAAAACAGTTTTTTTCATCCTCTACGCTCATTCTACTCACAACTCGTTGACTGTTAAGACGTGTTTTTCTGTCTTGTCTCGAAAATAAATTTTGTTTTTGTTAATGTAAAGAAAGTTCAACATTTTTTTGTTGTGGAATTGAAGAGAAATAAAAAAAAGAATTCTGAAATATTTTCGCGTTCCGTTTGAGTGCGTCAACCGTTAAGCAGTTCTCGGTGACTTATCCCGATTCTCTTTTTTTGTTCAAAATTTACTGCCACATTTGTGCTTGAATATTAAAATTGAAACTGAACTCAATTTGTGAAGAAAAATATAAAAAGAAGCGTAGGAAAAATAAATCAGAAGTAAAGTTCAAGAGAAGAAAATAATTTAGAAAAGTTAAAAAAAATTAATCTTTTAGACGTCAATTAAAATTTTAATGAATTTGTGAAAAAAATAATAATTAAAATTAAAATTCTGGATTTAACCGGCTTGACAATTTCAAAATCCAAAATGGTTCGAAGTTTATCGCAGTGGACAAAAACATTAAGTTTTCCAAATCGTCACTCAAAAGAGTGCAACGTAAATGTCCATCCAATACAAGCACCACCAACACCGGCTCGTAATAAGACTAACAATTCATCCCCATCATCATCACCACCAAATTCACCATCAAATGTTCCCATCACGGAAATCAGTCAGATTGTAAGTTTTCTTTTATTAATATTTTGGAGTGCTTAATTGCTCGACCAAGTATCTGATCCACATTTTCTCTCATCTGCTCATTAAACTGTTGTGTTTTACTGCCGAAAAACTTTCAATTTGCTCCACAAAATCGACATCCATCACAATTTATCTTGTTTTTACTTAATGGTCAAATTAAATGCAACTAAGAAACTGAATCTTGTAGATTTTTATGGTGAATACACCCGCAATAAAATTGAATTGCAGGTCAAGACAAAACAAATGTTTTCAGTTTCATCAGACGTGTGCAATTTCTTAAATGTTGTTTCTTGGGTTGAGTATTTATTTTGTTTATTTTACATGAATGGCTGGTTGGTTAGCTCATTTAGTGTTAAGACTTGGGCAATTAATTAGAATATTAAGGTTGCTAGAGTTCTGAATCCTCATATTCTTAAATTTATTTAAAATTAAGCAAAACATTCACCAAATTGTAATAATTGCAAAAATTATCCCAGAAATTTGCCTCAAACCTAATTATTTTTTAGAAAGGAACTCCAAATAAATCCGATCAAAAATTAACCCAAATACTCAACAAACTCAACCATATAAAATTGCCATAATTTCTTGCAAGCACTAAAAGCTAATTTAATTTAAGTAAAAACAATTCGAAACAGTCACTCGAAATGAAGTCATTGAAATTTCATTCAAGATTTTTTTAAGCAGACATATGAATGAACTAGTTTGGGAATTTTATCAAGCATGACAGCTGGAGACATGAATAAGGATTATTTTGTAATTTTTTGTTTATTAAAAACAATGAAGATTATGCAGAGAATTAATTTGTAATTGAGCAACTTGATAATTGTGGCTTAATCTTGTGTAAATTGCAAATATCCACGGAAATGAAGTTATCTCAGCACGTTTGCTATTAAAAATTCCAATAATGATAATATGCAAAAAAAAATTACTAGTAATATTAACTTTATGGACTTTAATCTAGGAAGTTATGTCCATATTTGCAGAAAAACTATCACTCAAGCTTCTCAGAATGGCAACAAAATAAACAAACAAATTAACAAAGCGAAAATCGCAAAAAATTCTTATGAAGAACCCCATCAAGCATGACGAACAAATAATGAGAAGAAATTATGCTTTTGAGGAATTTAATGGATTTATAAAAATTGAAGATCAGAATCATTAGACGAAAAATAAAATCCATATGAAATATAAATTGCTATAAGTCGATAATTCATCATTGGAATCGAAGAAACTCTCGAAATGTTTAAGCTAAAATATTTTAATAACTGTTTACTGCAACAACAAAAACTACGAAAAAAAGTATTGAAAAATTTTGCTTTCAAAATGTGAATGAATGAATGAACAAACTTTACATCATCGATTTGCTGTTTTTTTGTTGAACACAATGTGATGAAAATGTGAGAAAAAAAATTGTTTTGGGAAATTTTTAAAATATTCTGCAATTTTGGAGTTTAATTTCCATAGTTGAAAGATCCAGGGGATGTTTACTAATGCGGCTAGCTATAATTTAAAAATTGTAGCACATATAAACTAAACTAGGTTGCTTTATCACTAGTAGAGCTCTGTTAAACGAATAGAAGCTCACCAAAATCATCCAAAATTAACAGAATAATATTAATCACACCACAACTCCAAACTAATTTGAACCCCACGAACTCACCTCCCATAACTTCAAATCTCTAAAGCTAATCTCATCTCGATAATCAAAAATTTTCATCATAAATACCTAAAGTAGGCTATCAATTTATTTCAATCACATCTTCATGAATGATACACCTTAATAATAGCTTTTTAAGTGCATAGCTCAAGTCTCGTACCTTTAATTAATCTTCGCAAAATAACACATTCAACCGTAAAAGGTAAAATTGGCAATTATTAAAAAAAGAAATAGCTGAAGCGCATACGCAGCTTAAATCTGACGATATTATTGTTAAAATTTCAAGGCAACTCTCATGACTTTCAAGCTATTTCATTATTTTATCATATGATCAATGTTTCAATCAATTTGTTCCATTAATTTATTTTCATTTTCTCATAATTTAAATCGTGCTACTGTGGAGTTTTGTTAATGGATATATCAAAAACATATTTAGTGTTTACTATAGAAAATGAATTGTTATGGTTTATGTATATTATGGTAAAGATATCACGTATACAACTAGGGCAGTCAACCAGCAATAACAGATGGTTGTGTTATCAGCAATAGCTTTATATTTATTTTTTTTGATGTGGAATTTTTAGAATAAAAAGAAATTATCTTGACTTCTGAAAAGAATTGCCGCTATGCTGACCCTTGCGTGTGAATTTGTCAGGCTTTTTGAATATTTTTTTGTAATTTAAATTAATATTGCTATATTATGGTTGATCTTGCTGAATTCAGCTCAATTTAACTAGTCAAAAACCACTTTAAAACTTTCACAAGGGCTTTTCTTCTTTTTCATCACCATCATTTCTAAATACACACGCTAATGTGAGCACAATTCCGCCAACATAATTACGCTTGCTTAATGTCGACATTTAAATGAGCCGCAAAAACATCAAAATAAGCGAAAATATAAATAAAAGAGAAGAAAAAAGAATTATTTTAGATAGAATTTGTTTCCATTAGAACAATTGCTCATTGTGTGTATGCTACTCATTCAGTATGTCTACATTCTGCAAATAGAATGGCAGTCAATTTATTAAGTCGTTCCATCATGACACATTTCCGGTTCAAATTAATTTCTTTAATTATTTATATTTGTTGTAAGCAATTTAGAAAATGAAAGTAAGCAACAACTTAAAAAATAAAAAAAAAATGATGAATTTGTTTCTATTTCTCTTCTGTTGTAACTTAATTGTTTGAAGCGCGCGCTCATTCAATTTTGTTGTTTCTTCATGAACACACCCGACAATCTTTCCATTTATTAATAAAATTTTCATAAGTACTGTGTCATGCTGCACTTACAGCCATCATAATTGACTTTTCAATTAATTTATTTCTATTTTCTTGGGTTATAAAATTATTATTGTCATTAATTATGGATTTGATTGTTTTTGAAGGTTTTGTGTGGGATATGATGAATGTTTTGTTTTCAATTCAGCTAATTTAAAGGTTAAATCAACAATTTTAACCTAAAAGTTGCTGAGTTCTTTAAAGAGCTGAACATCGCTGAATTAAGCTGAATAGATTACAAATAAAGTCGAATACACTTTCCACAACTCCCGATTTGATAACAGACCACCTCAAAGTTATAGAAGCATACTAACTTCATATTTGAAGAATATTCTTTCGACCGTTATATTCCTCAATATTTATTTCCCTTCAATAACCCAAACATTATCATAATCTCTACATAATCACCTACAAACACATTTCCTCATAATGAATATTTCACTATTGTTCGATCACATGTCTTATTATCGCCTCATTATTAAAAGTTCACCGACCTCAACTCAACAAAATTGAGCTTAAGTAAAGTTTATTTTTATGAACAAATGTGTCTAATTATTCATTCTGTGTGTTCGTCATAACCCTAATGTGCCATGGCATAATCCATGCGTCTTTCAACATAATTTTTCAGCTTTTCTTCCTTCATGATATAACTGACAAAAAACCCGATCAGACATGACTATAAACCACTAATTTTACAAATCATTGACATCAAGTCAGAAGTTATTCTTCTCTTCTTACCTCATCAGTTTCTGCTGGAACGAAAAAAAGAAACAAAATTAATGGTTGTTTTTGGTTTTATAATTTTGATGGATTGTTGAGTTGAAGATTTTAAGAATTAAGGTTATGAAATTTTGGAATTCTAAAAGCCGTTAAAATTTTTGATTTTTGATTATTGAAAACTCTTCAATATTAAGCATAACTTTACTAATCAACACCCAATTTTCTAGTAAAAGTCTCATATAAAAACTTGTTGACTTAGCTTCACAAAAGACGGATAGACTTAATGGAAACAATCAACATGTCCATCAATAAACATTTTATAAGAAATGAGGCATATAAAAAATTGAATACAATGGAAGTTGTAGATTTTCTATCTATTACTAAAGGAAACTAAATGTAAAGTGTGAGGGTGGCGTGTGTGTTGCATGATTAATTTCAAGAACTGATTTAAGATTTGAAAATTTATTTTATTGCCATTGTTGTTCCTTCCTAGGACATAAATGTTGTTTAAAGAGTGAAAAATAAAAAGTCGTGAGACACGAACCAAAAATATTGTGGATCGATAAGCAGGTTTGGTCGACGTTATGAATTTCCTGTCGCGCGCTCATCAGATTGTAATTAAATTGAATTGTATGGACATGATTTAGTTGGGAAATTTCACTTCCCACGAGTTTGTATTGATAAGATCCCCTCAAACATTGTTAACCAAACAGGAAATTATTTCAGGAAAAAAGGAACTGTTCCTATAAATAAAACTTTTTTTTTGATCGTTTGAAGTACAATGTTATTAAAATAATTGAAGTCATAAGGTCATAACGGAATCTGAAAATTTATGTTCTCAATTCTCATTATATTGAGTTTTGTGCTTTCCATATGTCAATGTTTACATCATTAACATAATTTTCTTTCTCTCACAATTATTCTTATTTTGTGTGCTTACGTGAATTTGTGAAAATTTAGTGCTAATGATGGTGAGATTTTTAGGGTTTTAGCAATGTATTTCAGTGAAAATTATGCACTAGATTGCTGATTTCAGCTGAAAGCTATCAAATAAATGCAAAATACAATCATTAAAGAAGCGCTATATCCCTTCAACCTCACACAAACTCAAAAAATCTTCTTCTTTGCCCTCTAGCTCATCAATTTTCTACATCAAACATGCAACTTCTAATGAGCCTCTTTCAACTTTAAAATAAACAATTATCGACATACCAAAAGAAAAAAAAAATCTTTTAATTGAAGAATTTTTCGCTCAATAACAAATAGAGTCGAGGAAAAATCTTCAAAACAATTTGTGATCAACATCAAAAAAAAAAACTTTGTTTCA